ACGAAGGGGGAGCTCAAATTCAGGTCTGACTTGGAGCCATGTTCGCATTGCCTTCACCCTGGGGGAAGCAATAAAAAATAAAAACCAAACCCATTGCTGTGGAGTTGATTCCGACTTGTAGTGACCTATAGGACAGAGTAGTATAGGACTGCCCCATAAGGTTTCTGAGGCTGAAATCTTTACAGAAGCAGACTGCCACATCTTTCTCCCACAAAGTGGCTGGTGAGTTCAAACCACCAACCTTTCGGTTAGCAGCCAAGCTCTTTAACCACTGCACCACTAGGGCTTCTTGGAGAAGCAATAGTAAAGCCAAAACCAAGTGGGGATGCCTTCAGCCAGGCAGGACCCTAATTTCTATAAGTGCTTCTAGGGGTGTGGAGAAGGAAGGTGGGGAGACCCCGAGAGAAAGGCCATTGCCTGGAAGGCAGCGCCCCAAGGGCTGGCTGCAGGGAGAAAGAGTCAACGTCACTGGAAGCCACATTCTCCCCGTGCTTCTGGAGGCCACAGAAAATCCCTTGCCAGTTGGGAGCAGTTGCTGACTTGGGGTGGTGGGGGAAGTTTCACCAACTTCTGAGTAGCTCCGCCGTGGTTTTCTAATTCCAGGTGCAGTGCGTGATTTCACCACTATGCCGCGCCTCGAGCTTCTGTAAACCCTCTGGTTTCACACACACACACCCTGCTTTGGCCAGAAACTGGAGTGCTGGTGGCAGTGAAGGAGGAGGGCCGCTGAGGGCTTCCTGGGGAATGCCTGGCTGGCTGGAGCCTTCAGACGGGAGCTGGGGGGACAGCTGGCCAAGCCAGGGGCAGAGTGCCTCTTCTCCCAGTCCTGATGCGGCCTGTGCCGGGCTGGCAAGGGGGATGCAGGACATGGCTGCAAGCAGAGAAAAGCCACAAATAACCTGGCCTGCAGTAAATCGGGTCTCTCCCCATCACCCTTCACCAGGCTGCCCTTGTGGGCCCACACACACCCCAAGAAGAGCCCACCCACATTCTCATGATGCTCTGGGCTTGGAGGTACCAGCCCTGCCTCAGAGTCCAGACACAGCTCTACGTTCTTCCTGGGAATCTGCCACATCTTAACCCTAACATGGCTGAGGACCTCAAGCTGCTGACAGGGGTCTCTGAAGTTGAATCTATCATTTTCCCTATAGTTTGGAGTCAGACTGCTTAGGTTCAAAGCCAAGCTCTGCCACTTTCTTAGTTGTGTGGCCTTGGGCAAGTTCCTTAACTTCCGTGAGCCTCAGTTTCCTCATCTGTAAAATGGGAATAAAAGCCCACACCATAGAGGGCTGTTGTAGGATTAAATGATGTAATATGTAGAGCCTAAGCCTAGTGCCTGCCACAGAGTACATGCTATGTAAATGTTGGCTGTTATTATTATTTGAAACTAGGAGGAATGAATGCCTCTCAACCAGGTATGCATTCTGAGTTGGCTTCACTGGTGTGAAAATCCTCAGCCCTCACCAGAACCGCCTCTTCAGGACAGGTGGGCTGGAATTCAAGTCCGGCTTGGGGACAGAACAAACTTCCTATCCCAAACAGGACAGACAGAATGAACCTACTCGCATGTGACAACAGCCTCCCTGTGAAACCCCACATGAGCCCCAGGTTTGAGCATAGGCAGTCTAGTCCAGGCTGCCCCGTGGCTCAGGCAAAGCCCTCGCTATCCCCAGGAGGCAGTAAGTACCCACGTCAGTGCCACCCAGAGATGACATCCTAGTCCCCCACTCAGAGGCTGAGCAGTTGTTCCCACAGTCTGGTGAGAGCCTCTCCAGGAATAGACCCTTGGCCCACAGACCTGTGTGTCCCTGGCCACTCTGCAGCCTCAGGCAACTTCCCATCTGGGTGGCATGCCCATGGTGTCGAAGAGTACGCACTAGGTCAGGAAACCTCGGCTCTAAGTTTGGCACTGTCATCCTCAACCAGCTGTGTGACCTGGGGCAAGTCACTTACCCTCTCTGGGCCTGTTTCACCTGTATAAAATGAGAGGACTCAGGTGATCTTTCAGTTTCCTTCCAGCTCTAACATATGGTTTTAGCAAAGTCTCTGGCACACAGTAGGTGTTCATAAGTGTTATTTTATAAAATCCAAGCCATAATTCTACTAGGTTCTAACACCTACCCACCTTCTAGTCCTCAGTGCTGACTGACCTGTGTGGTCCAGCCCTTAAGAGGACTCAATCCAGAGTACAAGCTCAAGAAATAGGTAATCACTTTTGATCTGGCCTTCAGTCCAACCTATTCCCCCTACGCAAGGCTGCAAGAACCCCCATTGTGTCCCCCAGATTAGAGGATCTGGAATGTCTGCCCCCCCCACTAGACTGTAAGCTCCAAGAACAGAGTCATCTTGTTCCCCTGTGCCAGGTCCTGTGCTTTGTAAAGAGCACAGTGGCTGGCTCAGCCCCACCTCCCAGTGCATGAGGTGGATGGGCAGCCAGGTGTCTCTCGCTGTGATCCTGGACGTGGACACCGCCCCCTCACCACGGGGAAAGAAAGCAGCACAGAGCCTCAAGCTGGGCAGTCCTTTTATTGGAAAAAATAATAAAAGGCCATCCCATTGCCTGTGCCCAGCCACCACCACCCTCCCCCACCCCCAGACACCATTCCCAGCCACACAGTGGGGCCAGGGCAGGCACAGGCCAGGTCCAGGGGTCAAGGGCTGCAGTCTCTCCTGGGAAATCCTTGGACCAGGACTCAGGCCGAGGACTCTGGGGCCGAGCCAACCCTCTCCAGCTCTCTGGGTCAGCGCTTGGCTTTCACACGCGGCTCACATGTCCAGAAGAAAGTCAGGCCCCTCTTTGGTTCCAGAAAACCACCTGCAGCAGCTGGGCTTTCAGGTCCAGTTGTAGCACCTCCTGCTGGCTGAGGTAGGCAGCTTTTCTGCCCATCTTCAGGGCATCAAGGCTGGGGCTGCTCCCTTCCCACCGGGCTCCCCTCAGCAGCCTCCAAGCCAGAGCATCCTTGGCTGGATGGCCCTTCTTCCCTTGTGGGGGGGAGTTTGCCTTTCCCTTGCAGGTTGCAGGTTCCCTCACACAGCCTTAAAGAGGCTGGGGGGCTGAATATGCAGCAACTGTGGCGCCACTGCCCTATGGGGAGTGGAAGAGGGGCACAGAAGGCCCTGGGAAGCTTGGCTCTGCCCTCCCCTCAAGAACCCCAACTTGTCTTCTGCAGAATATACACAGGAGTCCCAAGGTGAGGCGTGGGGGAACCCCGAGGGAGAGGGAAGGCCAGGAGGAAAAGCCAAGCTGGCAGCCACAGGAAGAGAAGTGAGGGGCCTTAGGACATTTATTTACAGGAGCCAGGCTGGACCCACAAGGGAAGAAGCCAAAAACCCATTGTGTAGCTAAGACAAGACAGAATGCAGAGAGGGGCAGTACTAGCCTAGCAGCCAAGAGGAACACACACGTGCACTGACGCATTCATACACACCTCACACATGTATTCACATGGTGCACTGACACACACACCTCACACATGTACTCACACACTCACACATACTAGATTCACATTCACATGAACTCACACAAACATGGGTTCACACTCATGCAGGCACTGACACACATACACACGTGCACGCACACACATACTCACACGCGTGCAGGCACGCACACATACACGCGTGCAGGCACGCACACATACACGTGCATGCACGCACACACATACTCACGCGTGCATGCACGCACACACATACTCACGCATGCATGCACGCACACACATACACGCGTGCAGGCACGCACACATACACGCGTGCAGGCACGCACACATACACGTGCATGCACGCACACACATACTCACGCATGCATGCACGCACACACATACACGCGTGCAGGCACGCACACATACACGCGTGCATGCACACACACACATACTCATGCGTGCATGCACGCACACACGCGTGCATGCACGCACACACATACTCACACACGTGCATGCACGCACACACATGCACACATGCTCATTCCCATGTACATACAGGCTTCAGTCTCAGGACGATGGCTCCAGCTCAGGAGGTTCAAGCCGTCTGACGCCACATCTCTCCATGAAGAGTTTCTCCAGACCCCCATGTGATCTCCCAGAGCCCCAGTCTGTATCCCACAGCCAGAGCCTGGTGGCCTGCAAAATCCCAGGACTTGGACACTTCCTGGCAAGGCCAGCTAGCCCCCGGGCTCTGAGTGGAGGACAGGGAAGCCCCAGGACCACCATGGTGTCCATAAGCTGACCACTCCTGTCTCCTCAGGCCTTGAATTGGGTGGAGGCATAGACACAGACAGGCAGAGGCCTGGGGTGGCACAGAAAGAGCAGCCACAAGGAGACAGGCATGGGGAGGAAGGCGCGGGGGAGAGTCCCCATAGCCAAGGCCATCTGGCCCAAGTCCTGGCGGAGTGGGATTTGGGATGAGGAGTCATGCATGACGGGAATTCTCTAGGTGACAGGCCTGGCCCGGCTCTGGGGTGATGGAAGAGGAGCTGCCAAAAAAAAGAGGCTTTCCAGATTGTGTCCTCCCCACGCCAGCCTGCCCTAGGAAGGTCTGGCTCCATGGGAACCAGACCCACCTTATAGGGAACAAGCCTGTCAGGAAGTGGACTGATCCTGTGACTACGGGCAAGGGGCAGGGTCGTGGGTCAGTGGCCCACAGGGAACACGGGCCAGCCACCCTCCCTCTCACACCGGGTAGCAGGGTGGACCCAGAGTATGACTCAGAAGCGGGTGCTCTGGTAGCGCAGCCGCCGCAGGTCTGAGAGGCCCTCGCTCCGGCCGTACACCTCCCTGCGAGGACTCTCGGCCAGTCACCGGGTCCCCGCCCCACCACCCCCACCGCTGCTGCTGCCGCTGCCACTGCTGCTGCCGCTGCTGGAGCTGCCGCTGCTGCACCGGTCCTCGTAGATGGAGATCTCGATCTGGACGGCGGTTAAGGGAGCTGTGCAGCTGCCAACGCAGGGCTCGACCGGAACTCGTTGGCGGAGGCCGGCAGGGGAGGCGGGAGACTAAACCCTTGCGGCTTTCTTGGCAGTAAGGCTGCGGGAGGCCTGGAGAGCTGCACCACCCAGCCACCGGGCTCCTCCCTCACTCAGCTACCAGTGATGGAGACTTTGCTGTACTGAGTTCAAATCCTGACTCACCCGTTCACAAACTGTGTAACCTTAGACAAGTTACTTGTTAATCATCAATTATCACTACTATAAAGTCGGGATAATAGAATCTTGGCGCTATTGTGAGGATTAAAAGAAATACTGCATGTAGAACACTAAACACAATGCCCAACTCATAGTAAAGGCTCAATAAAAAGTGACTTCCGCTGGGCTTTGTAAAACGTGATTCTAGGAGTCTGTGTTTTTACTTTTTTCCCCCTGAATTCTCCAGTAAATTTTTTTTTCTTTTTAAATTCTCCTCTCACTGCTGCTGAGTAAGGAGGAGGGGTGTGTGTGCAGCTTGACTGCACTATCCTGGGCAGCCTGGCACCAGGATGGAGACTTTGGGGGGTGCCTCATCCTAGACCTCATTTTCCTCATCTGCAAAAGGGGGTCATGGGATCTCCCTCATGGGATTAAATGAGGATTACATGAAATGGTGGACATGTAAACATGTGGCAGATTTGCCTACTCCTTAAGGGACAATACAGCCTCAAGGTTAGGGCTGAGCCTAAGCCCAAGTCCTGGCTCTGACCCTTACCAGCTAGGTGACCCTGAGCCAGTGATTGCACCTCAAGAGTCACCTACCTCATTGAGTTGTTATGAGAATCATGTAAATTCATGTCTCCAAAGCATTTAGCATGATCTCTGGCATATATTAAACACTGATTAAATGCAGCTCCATAAATGCAAACCCCAAAGCTCACCAACAGCATGGATAACTTATGACGGGGGGATGACCAGTGATGTGCGGAACCCTGTGCGGAGGCCCCTGGGGTGGTGCCCATTTCCTGGTGGCCTCACACACGGCCAGACAGGCTACCCCAGAGACCCCACTGGTTGGCTGCTCTGGGCCCTCATACAGAACATCCAGGAAGGATACAACCCTCATCCCACGCTCCACGGGGTCCGTAAGCAGGAGACCTCGAGGAGCAAAGACCTTCTCATTCTGCTCCTGGATGTAGCGGGAGATCTTCTTGAGAACCTGCAAGGAGAGGGGTCAGCTGGGGATGGGCATACAGGCTGGAAGCCCGGGGAGAGAGGGGGCACAGGGCAGGCCGGGGAGGGAGCCACCTTCTCATAGTGGGTCTCCATGCAGAGGAAGATGAAGTAGGCCGTGGCACAGGCCAGGCAGCCCTCAAGGTAGGAGCTGCCCCCAATCTTCTCGGCCTCTGCGTAGAAGCCGTTGAGGGTCTTCACAGTCTCTTCAAAGAGCTGCCGCTCGATCTGGAGGGAGAGAGGGAACAGGGAGCCAGGCTGAGATTAGCCTTCCGGAGGGTGGACAGTGACAGGGGTGGCAGAGGTAGGGCTGAAGGAGCACTGGGAGGGACGCCATGAGGGTGGGGGATGACACATGGGCTCGCAGGCCAGACCAGAGACACTGCAGGTGCAGGTGGAGCAGAAGGAGCACTGGATTGAGTATCAGGAGACCTGGGCTCCAGTCCAGACTTGGCCATCAACTAGCTGTGTTACCTTGGACTAATGGCTTAACCACTCTGGGCCTTGGTTTCCTCATCTGTAAGATGGGAATAACACTTGGCCTCCTTCAAAGACAGGAAGCTCACATGACATCCTAGACATGAATGCTTTCTGCATAAGATCAGACAAGAATTCTGGGGATTTTATTAACTCTCCTTCTTGATGACAGCAAAAGCGCTCAGTACTGGGTCAGTGGGGACTCTGGCTGCATGAAGCTAAGGGGATGAGACCTCAGGAGTGTCTCTAGGAGGGGGCATTTCCTCCTAGCTAAGAGGTCACCCACAACACCACGGTCCAGTGTGTTTGGACAACTGAGAAGCTGTCCTGCTTGCATCCATAATAACAATAATAATATTTATTATTATGTACTTTCTATGTGCCAGGTGCTTTTTATGCATTATTTTGTTTAACCCTCATAGCAATTCTATCAGAAAAGTACTACCATCATCCCAATTTGCAAGTGAGGAAACTGACCCTACAGCTGCACTATGGTCCAAGACACCCTCCCTTCTGGCTTCTCAACTGGTCACCCTGCCCCAAGCCTGCCTCCTGCCTGAGTGCTCTGAAAAATGTAAGTCAGATCCTGTCACGCCCCTGACCAAGAGCTGCCAGAGTCTTCCCATCTCTCCAAGTAAAAGCCAAGAAATCCTTCCAAAGGCCTGCTTTGCCCTGCATGGCCTTGCCCTGCGGCCCCTCTGAGCCCATCTCTGCTCTCCTCTGCACTCAGCCCAACTCCAGCCACACTGTCCTCTCCACTGGTCCTCAAAAGTGCCAAATGTGCCTGGGCCTCAGGTCCTTTGTGTCTGTGTCCTCAGCTGGAATGCTCCTCCCCCAGACATCCCCACAGTCCATCCCTTTCTTCTCTCAGGTCTCACCTTATCCAGAGGATTTCCAAACCATGCACTTTGCCCAGCTCTCCCTCTCCCCTGGCCTCCCCTTAGTCTTCTCCATAGTATTTGTCACCACCTGAGCTACTATATATGGACTTGCTTGTTGGCTTCTTGTCTGTACCCACTAATAGAAAATAAACTCCATGAGTGTTTGTTCCTCCTATAGCCTCAGGGCCTAATACATAGCAGGTGCTCAATAAATACAAGGTTACACTGCTCTGACCCCAGAGTTTATGCGCTTCACCATGTAGCCCTACCCTACACAGCCTGAAGGTCATGTTCCAAATTCAGCAGGTGTCAAAGTGTCCGTGGCCCCGTCCACCTTCTTCATAGCACCCCCTCCCCGGCCATACTCCCACAGGGCCGCAACTGTCCATCATGCAGTTAGGGGCCTCCCATGCCTGTCTAGGGCAAAAGTTCTTCCCAGGAACAATCAAAAGCTTTGGGGCTCCCAGCCTCTACCTCCACACAGAGAAAATTCTGCCCATTTGGTCCATGATTCAAGCCCTGGTACTCTACCCTAAGGGTCACCCCACCACAAAGGACAGGCATGCTAAGATGAGGAGACCCACACTGCTCCCCAAAAGCTGGTTGAGACAAGATCAGCCAAGCCCAGGTCTGTATGCCTAGGCTGCTGAATGGAAGGATCAGGGTCTTCCCTTTACCCTGCCCCAGCCCCAGATCAGTTCTAAGAAGGAACTAGAAGAAGAGACACATACACCCCAGAACAGGAGCAAAACACAGTAGAAGGAGCTGATGCCCTGCAAGAGGTCCCTGGACCAGCAGGCACCCAAGGAGCTGAGTCTAGAAGGAGAGGCTGTGGTCAGAGCCCTTGACACATGCTCCCATCCACTGCCTTTGATGCTACTACCAGACTCTGGGATGGAGCGTCGGGCTCTCCCTCTGCCCATGGCAGGGAGAAGGGGGGAAGAACAGCTGCCAGCCCCTTCCTCTAGGTCTCTAAGTTTTCCCTGCCATGACTCAGACCACAAAGGCATCCAGTTTCATCCCTACCCACTATTACTGATACAATTGCATCAGGAAGAAAATACGAGCCCTATGTAAAAGCCAAGAGCCAGGGCACAGAGGCCCTTCTGCCACTGCTGCTTGCTTGCTTTAGATCATGAGTAGGTCACTCCCCCTTTCTGGCCCTCAGTTTCCTCTGTTAAATGAGAGGGGTAGACTAGTGCAGTGCTTTTCAGTTTAATGCATACACAAATAACCTAAAGATCTTGTTAAAATACAGATTCTGATTCAGTAGATCCAGGGAGAGGCCTGAGATTCTGCATTTCTAACAAGCTCCCAGGTGATGCTGATAATACTGGCCCACAGACCACAGTCTTAGTAACAAGAGCTTCGTGGTTCTCAACTCTGGCTGCACACTAAGCCACCTGAGCAGCTTTTAACACCTACAAATGCCCAAGTCTCGCCCCCCAAGAGATTCTGATGCAAATGGAGGGGTGGTGTCAGGGCAGTAAAGACCACATCTGCCCTACCCTACCCAAATGGACTGCCTGCAAAGTACGTTTTTCAAAAGCTCCCCAGGTGATGCTAATGTACAGCCAAGCCTGAGAAGATGCACACTATTAGAAGACCCATGATTCTCAAAGGGTGATCTAAGAATCACCTGACTCCAATCACCTGGAGATTCCGCATTGAAAACTGAAGTCCTCTCTGCTGGCTGCACATTGGAATCACATGGGGAGACTTAAAACAGTATTGATGCCTGGGCCCCAGACCCAGAGATTCTGGTTTAATTGGTCTGGGATGCAGCCCAGATATCAGGATTTTTTAAAGCTTCCCTGGGAATTGTAATGTGCAGCAGCCAAGGTTGAGAACTGCTGCTTAAAACATGGACATTCCCAAAACCCAGGCCACCAGCTGAGCCAGCATGGAATCTCACTGCCGTCAAGTCTATTCCGACTCACAGTGACCCTATAGGACAGAGTAGAAGTGTCCTACAGGGTTTCCAAGGCTGTAAATCTTTATGGATGCAGACTGCCACATCTTTCTCCCATGGAGTGGCTGGTGGGTTTGAACTGCCGGCCTTTCGGTTAGCAGCCAAGCGCTTCAACCACTGTGCCACCAGGGCTCCTTCAGCATGGACAAGGGCTCAGGAGTTCACATTTTAAATCAGGCTCTTTAGGAGATTCTCATGCAACTGAAACTTGAGAGCTGCTGAGCTAGAAGATCTCTGAGGTTTCTTCAGCTCTAACTTTCTATGAAGAGATGCCAAGACAGTGTTAAGGATATTTTTTATTCTTCTATGTGATGTGGCTGAACATGTTATGTGTTATGTGTCTTATGATATTATTTTTTTCCTGGGAAACAAAATACCTTCAAGTAAGCCCCTCAGTTCTATCCTGGCCTATGTTCCAAGTGTAGAAAGAGACTTCTTACCCGGCTGTCCAGCTCTGGGGGGAATTTGGTCTGGAACTGACAGATGGTGCCTTCGCTGTAGTCTCTCTGGATAAAGACCTTGGTGGCCAGGGAGGCACTTCGCCGGAGCTCCTGCAGGTTGTGGACCTGAGGAGACATAGCGGAGGTGCGTGCTGAAGGTGACCGTTTCTCTCCGATTGCCTGGGACTGAGGGGTTTCCCAGACACAGGACTTTCAGTGCTAAAACCAGGAAAGTGCCAGGCACACTGGGACAGGACCTGGTCACTCTGCATGTGCTCCAGGAAGGCCAGGGAAGCAGAACTGTGGAGATTATCCAAGAAGATGCCTTGAGCTATCCCAGAAAGTTCTAGAAAAAGCCTGAAGCAGGGCCAAAGCTGAACCAAAGTGAGAGGTTCTGGAACCATCAATGTAACTAAAAACAAGCTCTAACAAGAAGAACAAGACTTCTTGGTGCCCGGTCTGGACCCCTTCTCCCCCCACCCCTTCATTCGCTCAGCAAGTATCGAGTGTTTACAACTTGTCAGGCCCTGCCTTTGATGAACAAGAGTGAAGTCTCAGGCCCTGCTGATTGGAACTTGCAATAGGGTTGGGTAGGGTTGGGGACATGGGGAGCAGGTGGAAAAGAGGAGTACCTGATGTGCCCACGAACTCAGAGGGAGATTCGGGTTTAGGCCAAGTTATAGCTCGGGCCAGAGAGAATCACAGATGGTTTCCGTATCCAGTACATGTCACCCAGGAAAGCAGGGGCCCATGAGTGTCCAAAATCTCCCAGAGAAGACTGGATTAAGTGGACTGAGGCCAGAAATTGAAGAACTACCCTGCCCTGGTAGGAAGGAATGGAGCAATTTCTGTCCCTTGTGCCCACCTGTGGACTTGACATTGACACACAGATTTCAGCATTTGAGGGAAGTGGGCTCAGTTTCGCAGAACAGTCCTTTCTCTTTCACTTCTCCAGCCTTAGCTGCCCACATTTGAGACAAGCATCCCACTGGGTGAAGATGCCAAACACTGGAACCACAGTGGAGACTGAGCCTCAAAGGCAGAGTGAACAGCCAGTTCATTCTGTGTAATTAGGGTGAACCTGTTCCATCACTCAGCTGTCATTTATTGAGTCCCTGCTATTGCCAGGCTCTGGGGACACTGAGCAGAAGACAGTCTGTGAGCTCCAGGGAGGAAGACAAGTAAATATATAATTAATTAGACTGTGATAAATGCTACAAAGAAGTAACATCTTGCTCAGAAACACTTACTCAGAAAATGCTTCCTGAAGCCTGGGTTAAGTCATAAAGGCAGGCCAGGAGCGACCAGTGTCAGGGAATAGACAGAAGATGGCGAGAGGGAAGAAAAGGCAACTCAGACAAAGGGAGAAGCTTGTGCAAAGTAGTGATAGCAGAGAACATGTCCCAATGGCTGGAGGCAGATTTCAGCAAGACTGGAGTTGGTTTGCAGATTAGCTGAGAGCAGTGAGAGATGACAGTATAGAGGAGACAAGGGATAGATCACAAAGAGCTGGGATGGGTTTCTTAGGGGGGCAGGATTTAAGACAGAAGATACTTGAACTTGCTTAAAAGCTGGGGGAAAGGATAACTAGAGGAAAGACTGTTGATACGGTAGAAAGAGCAGATAATTGGTGACCAAGGTGGTGAAAGAACAGGAAGCAGGAAAGGGGGCCCGATATGAGACTTGCCTGATGCAGGCGAACTTTGTTCTGTGTAAGAACTGTGATCGCAAAGTATTGTGATTGGATTAAATAATCTATAAACGCTCTTCTAGTCTTCATATTCCTTGATTTCTTTAATCAGGGTTTTAACTGATGTCCTCTTGACATCTACTAGGATCCTATCATAACTGAAAAATAAAGAATCCTTTGGTCATATAAATAAATCATTTTTTAATGTGTCTGCTGTGTGGTTAAGGTTTCATAATTTTGTTTTTTCAAAGAAAAGGAATGGGCTGCGGCCTTCCTCCACCTTTCTAAAACCAACCTACAAGAGCCAGTTGATCTTGAGGATGAACTCCCCTGGCCCTAGAAAGATCCTTCTGGCAGCTTTGTGGGGGTGGTAGATGGGAAGTGGGCAAGACTAGGTTAGGGGTTCAGTTGAAGGGATGATTATCTTTGTAGTTGTCGTTGTTGTTGGTTGCCGTCAGGTTGATTCCAACTCATGAGTGGGTCTAAACCAAGAAAAGTGGTGGTGAGACGGAAAGGAAGAAAAGAGTGCTTCCGCCATCCTGACATGGACTCTGCTTCCTCCCCTCCGACGGCCTCCTTTGTCTCTGCCTGAACACACACATGCACATATGTACAGATACACATGCATGTGTATTTCCATGAAGGTACATGTCTCTAGAGACTCCCTGGCTATTCACAGCCATTTCTTCTTACCCCAGGCACACAGATTAATTCCCAGCATCCCCTGCAGTTAGGTGCAGCCATGGGACTGAGTGGAATGATCAATGTCAATGAAGTGATCAATGTCACATATAGGCTTGACTCATAAAAGCCTGCCCCTTCTCTATGCTCTTTCTCCTTCAAAGGAAACAGGAAGCCCTGTGTTGAAGACGGTGAAACCATAAGATGCAAAGAGCTTGGGTCCCTGAATCACTGACTGGAGGAGAACCACCTCTGATCAGGAACACCTGTCTGGGACTTTACTGAGCAGAAAATGAACTTATATTGTCTTAAGCCATTAAGATTTGAGCCCTGTTGGCACAGTGATTAAGCACTCAGCTGTTAAATGAAAGATTAATAGTTTGAACCCAAAGATGTGGTAGACTGCTTGTGTAAAGACTTACAGCCTTGGAAACCTTATGGGCAGTTCTACTCTGTCCTAAAGGGTTGCTATGAGTCGGAATCAACTCCATGGCGACAAGTTATCCTAAGTAATACAGTCCCACTTCCTCTTGGCTTTGTTTGATCCATGGGTTCTCAAGTAGCCAGGGTGGGAGGGGCCAACACCCTTTCCAGTTCCAACCATGTCCTGAGCCTTAGAACACTGTCCTGTCTCTGGGTGACTAAGGACCTGCTTCTCTCCCTAGAGAGTGTTTGTGGGGTCTTGAGGAGTTGCTAGAGGATGGTATCAGACGCATGTTATATGCCAGAGCCTTAGTCTCCCAGATCTACATACAGCACACATATCACAGACCCATCTGTAGTTAGTGCAGAGCAGGATTTAAGACAAGGCTGGCCCTCCTGACCCTCTCAATCTATGGCACCACTGTGAAGTGCAATAAGCCCTGATGCAAGATTTGGGAGCAGGAGAGCTGGGTGCTAGTCCAGGCTACATGATTCTGGGAAACTCTTCTCCTCTCTGGCCTCCATTTCCTCAACTGGATAATGAGAAGTTGGAACTAGGTAATCTCCAAAGCCCCTCCCAGCTCTGACATTCTAGAGGCCTTATCAGGGATTATGAATGCAAATGTTTACAGGGGCTAAGCAGTAAACAGGCCAGGTGGGGACTGCGGCTAATTAGAGAACTCATGTCCTGTCTTGAAAAGGCAGCTGATCATTGCCATGTGAGAATGTGAACCCAGATTGCCAGCACTTCTGGTTTTTCAAGATAAGTTATAAATCTAGATTGTCTTCATGTGAAATGTCTTGATTTTTAAATGTTTCAAATAAATGTTTAAAATTTGTAAGCACTAAGAAGACCAAATAAGGCACACTTGCGGACAAGATTCAGCCCTAGAGCTGCCAGTTTAGGAAACTCTGGATAAAGAATCCCATGGCAGGAGCCCTTGGGCCAGAGCTCCAGCCAGGCTCCAGGCCACCTGCCAGCTATCTAGCTTTCAAGAAGATTCCAGAACGGTGCATACCTCTCTCGAAGGCTTCAGCTCCCCCTGAGCCTCTCCCCAGGGGTTTCTTAACTGACCTAGAGACCTGGGCTTCTCATTCACTTCTCACCTTCCTCAACCCTGCCCCTCTTTTCCATCACCACCCCCTGGTCTGTTGGTTGCTGAGTAAAGACAGGACCAAGAGGCATTTCATGAGGAAGAAAGAGAAAATCAGTGGCGAGTTCTGCTGGCACCAATTTTCAAACTGCGGTGTGACAGGGAAGGGGAGGCTGCCTGGATGACAAGTGCTACCTCTCACACATTTAGACCTGTACACCCCACAGGACCAAACTGGCAGGGGTGTGGAGGGGCAAGCACTGGGGTGCAAATGAGCATTCCCAGGCCAGTACGCCCAAGACAAACAGGAAGTCCCATCTGGGCGCACATTTCCATCCTCATTAACAACCATCTAATTCCGTAGGATACATTTGACACTCAACTCAAGAAACGGATTTAGTTGAAGAGTTTCCTGTGCCCCCCTGGATAGGGTGTGGAGGAACAGTGAGGATCACGAGTCACAGGTAACCAAAGCAGACCTAAGGTTGGAAAGCTCAGCACAGTCTCCCCTCTCTGCCTAAATCAGGAGCCAAGCCCAACCCATTGTCTGCTGGCTGTTCATTCCATGCCTGAGATCAAGCCTCCAAGTGTCCTGGGGATAATGCTGCTTGGGTGCATTTTAAAATCTCTTAGAGGCCAAACTCCACCACTCAGAGAGCCCCTCCTAGCCAGGCACTTCCCAGTCGTCCTTGGCTACCTGGACTGTTTCCTGGGGAGGCCCCTGCTCCCAGTGACACACATTCACAGAGGTTTGCCACTCAGGAAATGGGCTCATTGAAGCCTTCCAAATGAGGTCAATGTATCACTCAAGAGACCTCATCCCTCCTCTGAGTTCCTCACACACACTCTCCCCTAATGCTAACTCCTAAACAGAAGTTAGAGAGCAGAAAAGATCTGGTGTCCATGCCGTTCATCCAGGGATTTTCTCATTCATTCTCTCTCTCCCCCTCCCCTCAATACACCCTCTACTGGAGCTAAGGACTTTCCATTTAGAATTCTAAAGGAATAGCCACAGGAGTTTGGAGTGAGGCTTTGCTTCCCCCAACAGGTATTTCCTGGTAATTTTAACCCAGTCCTAATAGTAAAAACAGCCCGGGGAGAATGATTCACCCCATAACCCAGATAATGCAAACATCCTCTGCCTTGGCAGGGCTAAGGCTTCTTCGCTTGGTACTGCCATCAATATCCACCCAAGGCCAAATTCCAAAACAGGCAATGCTTGTCCTTAGCACCCATCTCTTCTGGGCCTCTGAACCTCTGACCTCAAGCTGACCCAACCAGGCCAGTCAGGGGGCCCGAGTCCCACATTCCAACCCTTCCTGACCGGGCCTCCTTTGTATCCCTTCCCCCATGAAAGCCCCATGTCAAGACCCCTAGCACCCTCCTGTCTATTAGGCAACACAATTGGCTAATCGGATACACTAACCCTAGGTACCTGGGGAGCGGGTTGGCAGGGAGAGCACTGGCCAGGGAAGCAGACTCAAGTTCTACTCCTGCCCTGCCACTCTTTAGCCATATTTTCTTGAATAAGTCTCTGGGATCCAGTTGCATCATCTGTAAAGTGGGATAATGATGCCTTCCTTGGCTCCTTCACAGGAATCAGGCAAGCTTCTGAGTCTCGGTTGTCTCATCTGATAAATGGGGATAATAATACCATTCTTGTGCACTTCACAGGGTTTCACTAAGCCTCAAAGGAGATCACAGGTGTGACAGTGCTCTGTACACAGGAAAGTGCTGTATCCACATTGGTGTTATGAGCACAGCCTCTCCCAGGGGAGAGTCATGCATACCTAACAGCAGCCTCCTGGAAACAATGCCTCAACCTAGAGATGCGAGCCTAATGGTTGGAAGCTGTGGACCATAGCAGCCCCAAGAGGGAGATATGCTGGGACAGATGGGCCTCTTGGCAATCTGTCAGATCACATCACAGAGGGAGCTGCCTTCTCTGCCCACAGTGCTGGCCCAGCCATGCCTGTGTGGCTGAAGAATCTCCTTCCTGCCTGTCATGGTTTGAATTATGTCCCCCAAAAAATGTGTGTATCAATTTGGCTAGGTCATGATTCCTGGTACTGTGTGATTTTCCTGTATGTTGTA